CGAACTACGCGCTAATGTGTAATCAAAGCTCCCCTAATCCCTGATTGGCCTTTCATGAAGTGGGTAATAGCTACGTTTACAATCACTGCGTTTTCGTCCCATTACGTCCGATTTCAGGACCTTCTCTGATAACAGACGGCTACCCCGGCAATTGTATTGTGATATTAGAGGTACCTTCTTTTGTAGGTAACTTCTGAGTTGATAATCCTGGGCCCACTTGTAAAAAACATCTCAAAGGTAAGGAAAATTTTAGACTTGAGGAAAACCTGGTTTATTATTAGAAAAAACATAGAAGAGTTTGTGTATGTGGGAGAATGATTGGAAAGGAGGGACCCTCATATTATATATAGTAATTTTATTCCCAGACTTTATTTCACTTCATGTCTGGAAGGCTGTTGGTGTTTTTAAGAAAACGTCATTTGAATATCAGTCATGGCAAAGTCTTTTCACAGATTTTGTTATCTATATATATACACAAATAAAAAAGTTAAGCACCCCCACGTTTTTTTGGAAATGACAAATGATACGATCAACCCTGCGTCTCATTCCCTCCAGTCAGTCGTCGGATTTCTTGTTGTGGTAGCAGTCGCCATTCCCGATGCAATGCTGCTTCCAACTGACGTAAGTTTTGTACAGGAGGTTCGACTGCCTGTACACGACGGCCTAACATGTCCCAAACATGCTCTATCGGATTCAAATCCGGGCTCATGGAAGATAAGTCACTGCTTCGCCTTGAAGGTAGGCGGTTACCGCCATTGAACGATGCGGCCGGGCGTTGTCATTTTTCATGCTGTATTTTTCTGTCTCCAAACTCTCATTCGTCCATCTGTTACAGGCAGCAGAAACCGGCTCTCGTCCGACCAATGGATCTTGCTCCAAGTCCTCAAGTTCCAAGCACGTCGCGCTAAACACCATGCCAAACCTAATTACCGGTTCCTCACTGTTCTGGTTGAAAGACGTCTATAAGGTAACCGTTGTCTCTTTAGAACAGGACTAGTTGCAAATGGCATTCGTCTAACTAGGCGTTCCAGTGCCCTGCCTTCACGCTGCGATGTTACGGGTGGTCTACCGGATCTTGGCAAGTCTTTGACGGTGTTGGTTTGGATATGTTTTCTCACAGGCCGGCTGACTACAGTATAATAATAGCCCATCTGACGTCCAATAGCTTTACAGGACATCCCTGTTGACCGCATGCCGATAATTTGCCATCTTTGGGCCTCCGATATTCGTCCTCGTACCATGTTCACAGAGAATGAATACTTTTTTTCAAAACGCCGTACTTAAATACCAAGCGTGGGCATACTGCATTTTGGAAATTACATGGGAGGCATGGTGCACGTGCATACTACCTAAATATCTTAATTGCCGATCACACCTGCATGATCACATCTTTTTTATGGAACAATGGTCTTGTTAAAATCAATATTTGCATTTAAATTGAAATGTGTGGTAACATACTATAATTCAATATATCAGGGGGTGCTTAATTTTTCTTTGTGTATATCTCATTTCTGTTTTTAAACAATGTAGCATTTATTGCCAGAAAGACGCTGGCTATACATCATAGCTTTAGGCCTGTTGATGTTCAGTACTCCATACCAGCAAGGCCAGATATCATGACTGCATGCTTTTGGTTCTTCAGAAGAAGCTGTTTGAGTGTTTAATAGCTATGAATCTTTTAATCTCCGATATAAATCAAGGTTTATTTTGATACTTTGTAGCGCTCCTTGCCATCGCCAATAGCGATGTATAATGACTCTAGTTCTCTTGGAAGAAGAAGAAGATACAATGGCAACAAATTTGCGTACACTTCGCAGTTACTTTTTTCAAATTTGTATCTGTTTGACTCAAAATGCTCTTCCCAATGTTTAGAACATATGTACACAATACAGGGATACTATGCCGCCATCTTGAAAAATCATACCCGCCGACCGTGTTTGTTCTATTTCATCTTGGGGAAAAAAACACCCTGATAACTTGATTGCATCTATATCCACTGTCGTTGTTTTGTTATCTTCAACTGACACACTTGGAACCTCCGATGTCTGAATGGCAAGGTATAATAAAGCCGATAGTAAAAGTATCGAAATATCATGACCGAAAATGGCGACCGTTATGCCAGCATGCAAAAGGATACAATAAGCCTTATTGAAAATAAGCGTTAAGCAAAAATCAATATTTATGAACACGGGTTACAATAATGGGTGATGTTGAAAACGTATCGATATCGTTAATCACTATGGTAACCCTTCGAAGGGTTACAGTATTGGTTGCATATGCGCCTTAAACAGTTTCAACATTAGTGGGTGGGGCTACAATAATTCATGTTTATTTGATCCTTTTTGTGTGAAGAGTTCAGTGGTTTATCCGAGCTTGAGTTTTGCCAGCTTTGTGATACCCATTTGGCGCCAAATTTCAGCTGAGCTCAAACATAAGATTTGAACACGAGATTTGAGGAAATGTTTTTGATACCGAAGGATATTTTTTGTTTCATATTTATTTTCCGTGTATATTTTGAAAGTGTCTACATTTGTTCATGCTTACTTCTTACCTGATAGATTTTGTCTTCGAATTGCCATTTTGCTGACACTTCAGAACTCTCTCGTTTCCCCCAGTTTATATACACAAAGCAACAGATAAGCACGATGCCAGCTATATAGGATATGTACAACTAATCTCCTGATTATAAAATGACTTTTCTATCTGTATGATCATTTCCTCTATTGACCCAAAAGTACCGACTTGTCCAGTATTCGTGCAGCACACACGATTTGTCACCTTAATACGCCACGGGCTCTTTAATCGTGATATTGGCGGTACTCCTGTCCCGTATACCTGTAAATTGATATTGGCACTGTCTAATTAGCCAAACTTTCTAATATTGCGGTTTTTTTCTACCTAAACACAATACACACTCAGACAGTTTAGCGCGACTTGTAATAGCGCGAAATCCCGCGAGTTTTGGATGCTGCGTACGATAACATCGCAATGTTGTTTAAGCCTATCTCTGAGGTGATTAATTATTGATACTATTGGAATAGGGCCAGGATCAACAAAGATTAGTCAGCTTTGTGTATTCTGATCGAGCAATATATCCAATTATTCATTATCAGTATTTTTGTTCTGTTTCACCTTAAAACAGGGGAAATTATATGAAATCTCTGTCCAAAATATTCGCTATCTTTAAGCGACAAAAAAAATGTTTACTAATGTGAACAAGTAGCAGAAATCAAAAAGTTCGTTTTGCTACATTAAGTAGCTAGAACTCTTGATTTCTTGTTGGGGCGAGTGACAATGGTAGTTGTGCGCAAATAACCACTCAAAATATTACACAAATAGTATTTCTCTTTATTGACATTTTTATGAAATATAATACATATCTCTGAATAAAGCATCAACCTTAAATAACTTTGACCATTCCATTGTTCTAAATATATGTCATTTTTTTCCATATTATTAAATCGATATATACGTCATCACTCATATTCCTTACAATTTCAACAGGATACAGTCGGAAACATAACCTTATGTTATTAATTATTCATAAACAATAGCTGGTTTATGTGACGATATGTCGGTATTGTACTCACGATAATAACACTAAGTATTGCAACGCTGTATTGAATCATGGACAAGTACTTCGTGGACTCATCTTAATTATAAACGACTAATTTGAAAGAGTCGCCCGTATTCATGAAATCGTTCTTATGCTCAAGCATGGATTCTGTGCTCAAACCAGATTTCTTGAAACTCGCTTAAATAATGTAAAACAAGCAAAAAATAAAATAAACATTGAAAACAGTAATTGGATTTAAGTCTCTTCATTTTTATTCAGATCTTTGATTTTTTTTTTATTACTTTATCACTGAAACATGAAATAAGATTTGAGCACAAAATCCACATTTGAGCACAAAATCCACGTTTGAGCACAAGATCCACGTTTGAGCACAAAATCCACGTTTGAGCATGAGAAGGTTTTCATGAAAACGGACCCCGGTAAACCCACAGTCAGACAGAGAAAGTAGAAATTGAACACAATTCCTTAAATATTATATAATAATATTTGAAATATTATGAATTGCTTTATTCCCTCAAATTTTACTTATAAAATGCAGAATTGTGGATTGCTTAACGCTCTCGAATGTCTTTCATAAATGCAGATTCCTTGACGAAATGATTTCATTTTTTGTTTTAATTTTAAAATTGGAATATTGTTCAGTTTTACTTATGATCGGCGATGATGTATAATGAACATTTATAAAGTGTTGTCACTCAACACAATAAGAGAATAAAAGGGAAATGTTTTGCTATTGTAATTTAAATGAAGCAAATCCAGTGTTATTTATTTTGAATAATTAAAATTACGTGAGATACGTTTTTTCGCATTAAACTCACAACGAACGCTAAAATGTAAGTGAAGTGGAGTACAATAAATCTTCGGATATATACACTTGATTTCACTAAGTTTTGGAGAATGGGCCATTGCATACTTTTCGTAAATAATGTTCCATTTTATACCAGAATTCTGTCGTCTGTATACAAGTTATTTAGACGAATCTGTTAAGAACTCAAAACTTAGATAAAATGCCACAAATTTCATAATTTAAGATAAATCCGATCACACAACCACAATTTAATCAATTTTTCATGCAAAATTAGCGGTTTGTCTGTCTTCGTGTTATCGACGTCGCCATTTTGAAACAAATGACTTCAAGTCCATTGAACCTATTTATGACGTCACTCTTAAAATACGAAAATAACAGTCAATGCAATTCATCATATAACATCTATGTTACATAAAATATTCAATGCATAACACTCCAAGAATGTGATAAAATGATTATTTTGGGCATAGTTAATGATATATCACATCAAGTTGTCAATAGCATGCTTGGTTATCTTAACGAGCAGTTAACGCATATTTTCGAAATTGGATTTTTTTTAAGAAAATAAGAAAACTTTTGTTTTTCCTGTATTAAAAAAAAAGTTTAATGCTTGCATATGTCTTTTTTGTTTTGGATTTCATTTTTTTATTTTCGAAAATAAAGTTATTGTAATTAAGATAAAAAATTTGCATTAACTCTCGATAAGCCAATATGGCTTCGAACTTCTGAACATAAGATTCATCTACTTTCAATATCGGCTCGTTCAAGACTTCCAATTGTACCGTTCATTTCAGTTTTACCGTTAATATCTATTTTTCCATTCGTGTTTGTTTTCCCATTTAGATGATTCATCTCCATCTTGCTTTCGGTTTGTTCCGTCGGACTTTCATCGCCACCGTTTGCCGGTTTGATATTTACATGAACAAGTAATACAATCACGATCATCACAGTGTATAAGCCGGACGCCAATAAAAATGCGAAACCAGGAAATATATCGAGAGTAGATCCGTATAAATAGGTAAAGACAACAGCAAGAAATTTAGCCGCAGTTTCGCTACTTCCTAATAAGGAGAACATCTTCCCTACTTCATCTTCTTGCACCATTTTACTAAGAAGTGATCTGACTGGGGAATTTATTATACCACCAAAACTTCCCACTACAACGGCAAGCCAAACCATCCAAGTCTCGTTGCTCCACGCCATAATAACGAACCGGATACAAGCGCATGCGAGACCTATGATGCTTATCGAAAGATCAGAGAACTTCAGAATGTTTGAAAGTATGGGTAGAAATACCAGCAAGATAAATCCCATTGATGCATTGTCCAGTGCCGATAGGTACCCGAACCAAGATGTCGGCCAGCTAAGTGGAGACTTCTCCGTAAATAGGAGGGTGACGTCTGTTAGACCCGTTCGACACGTCTGATGGAGAAACAAAACAACAAACAGTGAAATGATAAAACGTCTCGTGCTTCCCGCACGTGGCTTTGTGATGACCTGTACAGATTCCATAACGTTTTTGCCTTGACAGAAAGCTTTACAAGGAAACAAATTTCGTTTGTCGGCGACATTCACCGTCTCGCGAAGGGTAACGAGAGTTAAAAGCACAACAAGTGCGTTCATGAATGACACACAGCAATATGCCGTCAGAATGCTCGTGCTGTCGATGAGAAGCCCACCAATAAGCGAGCCAATGAACATACCTATAAACTGCATAGCGGCGATTGTTCCGAGCCGTTTTGTCCGTCTGTCCGTAGCCGTGATGTCCACTACATAGCTACTAACTGCCATACTGACCATAGCAGTCTTGCCGAAACATCCATGTATAACGGATCCCACGAGGAAACAAGCGATGGATCCATCGTATGCCATGTTAGCAGCCATGTACAGGAGAACAGCGAAGGTAGTTCCAAGACTCGGCATCACCATTGGCAATTTCCGGCCGTATTTGTCGCTCCACGCACCACAGAACATGCCGAGCACGAGCGCAGGGACATTTGTTATGATTTTGTGCAAAATCATGTAAGTTGTGGCCTTTTTTTGAACAAGTTGCTCGATATCCACATTGTCTTCAATGTGACGGCAGCTATGAATTCGATTTGGATACATACTATAGCAGACTATTTGTGGTACATTTGGACGAAGCACAGCGTCCAACAGAGCGTCTCCTATACTGTAGAGTAGGAATATAAAATCCACCTTACAGTCACATAAACACTCTTTAATATAGTAGTACAATGACATTATGTTAAAATCTCGAAACTTAGATATCAAATTTGACCGGGAAGGCATCTTGATTGCTTGGTCTACAATTTGGCGAGACTATATTTAGCTAAACCTATGTAAATTAATTTGTCATATATGGAATATCATAATTTTTATTTTATTATTTCATTTCTTAATGAATTCGGGGTGAAAGTGATTTTTTTATGTTTCAACCTTATTTCCTGATTGATCTACATTCGTCTTTGGTTTAAACGTTTCAATTCAATATCCATTAAAATTTTGGTAAAATTTAACGAGTTTATTGTTTGTTTTCTTTTCTTTCAAATGAATTACGTATTTATTCAATGGAAACATCCTCCTTGTTTTTGTCACATGATATTATCCAGCAAAAAATGTAAGATCACGTTCATCGTTGTTCTGTTGTTTTTGTTGCTTCAGCTGCTGTTGTTGGTTGTGGTGTTTATGGTGTAAACGGTGGCTGTCGTTTAAGTTTTGTTGTTGTCGCGTTCATTTGATATCCATGCGCTTAAAGCAATGAATTGTTAAAAATTAAACTTTTAAATGAAACACTGCAAATCCTCGCAAGCGTTTGTTGAATTCCTTTTTGACCCCCGGGTGTTTTTCAGTTTAGACGTTGATCAGTTGACCTCCGGGTAGTTTCATGAAGACATGGAGCTCTGTTGACCCGCAGGGGCCCTCTAGACTGTCGTTGCCGGTCGAAACAGAAACCTGTAAGATATTAAACAGAATATCATTAGTGATTCGGTTATCAACACCATCCGTTTTATCATCCTATCTCGTTCGTTTATTATTTTGAAATTGTATCTGCCTCGGGGTTGCTACGCATGCACCATACATTCCTACACTGATGACTTCGTGCAGGTCAACACAAAGACCAAGCTCCTAATTCAGCGGTATACTATGACTACGAACATAACGTTCCAATTTAAAATTGGATTGTTGAACATTTTTGAAAATGGGATGCGAAGCAGAGTGATATTATAACAATCTCTAAAGTATGACCGGTGCTTTAGGCTCTGTTTTGAGAATAGCGGAATATATTTACAAATGTACCAGAGTGTGGTAGGACTATACGTTATAATACTACTAAATTCAGATAGCATGTATGTCAGTTATGAATTACATGGCCCTAGTTTTGAAGTCATAATTGTACCGATGCACAGAATTGAATTTCCTTGGAAGAACAAAATGCTGATTTTTGATGAACTAATTATAATTAGATCAGAGTACTTTGGTTTTGACCTATATAGAGTCAGCTAATAGGACATAATCGTGTTTGATTTTTAATTTTTAAATTACGAATGTAATGTAATAAATAGAATCTTACACTCAATATTATATTATATCTTAAACTATTTCGATAAATTTACTATGACATGGACACTCGTGTAAGATAATCTTTATATCAATCATTGAATTAATCATTCAATACTATCTTTATAAGAAGATCGTGAAAATCCTTAGTTATCGTAGCCAAAAATTCCAGGACACAGACGTGAAATACATAAAGAGGGAAATGCGTCCGACGTTATCATTAATTTGTCACCAATACTTTAAAGGTTTTCAATGTTTATGTTGAAACATGAATTTGATCTTTCTTCCGTCACTTATTATTTGTTGTACATTGCCCACTTGGGCTTCATGGTAAATATGTATTTAACCGATTTGTGTTCATACCGGCATGAACATTGAAAAACCTTTGTTCAGAACGTTAGTTTCATTCAGATCTAAAAAAACATTACAGCCAATCTCCACTTGAACCGTCCTTCTTTGAAGGCTCCAGAAAACTTGATATCGACACGTGTTTTTCACGCTCCGTTAGGTTATTGATTTGTGATATAAAGTCAGGAATATTTAATGTTCGTGACATCTTTTGGTAGAATTGTTTTAAGTGTGATAAAAAAAATCAATTTGAAACAACTTCAAACAGCCCCGCTTTGAACACCAAGTTTCGAAAGATGCAAGTTGTAGGAAATTGGTATGTGTTATGGTCGCCATTTTGATCGTATTATGAAATATGTAATCACTCTCGTGTGATATAAAGTTCATGGTTTATATATGTTTGCTACTTAGTGTGTATTGTTGTTCCGTTTTACGCCCGCGGGTATAGCTTCGAGAACGAGACATTTCAGTGATTTGACCTAGATGTACAAAGCAGGTGTCGTCGACGAAGCAGAATGCGCTTATCTTTCCGGAACACCTGGTCTTATTATCCCTGTAGGTTTGGTCTCCATGTATATCTTTCACTTGTTCAAGTCGATTTCGAGTTTTGATAACGGCATTTTTTACATGAGATATTGTTCTCTTGTTTTATTGTTCTTCTGAACATTTAAAAAAAATCCAACATCGATAAGTATTCAGCTATCCCGGGACATACTACGGATATATATGTGGTGATATGTGATTTCAGAGATCTGATTCACTGTGCCAACTGTCTCTTTTGATACAGCATTAATCAATATTTGTCAAGATGCTCTATCTGTTATTTAAGTTTAAAAGAGATAAGTACGATTTTCTTAATTTCGTCACTTGCATCAACCGAATCGTTGATTCTCATTTATTTGAAATAGGAAACTCTGAATTATGAATACCTACGAAACGATTCTCTCCATATGTGTTGATAAAAGTTTGGTACATTGTGTTTTGCTATTGAGAATAACGAATGATTAAAGCCTATTTAATTCAGATTGGTGTTTTTTTAAATTAATAAAACTGACTTTTAGTTACGTAAATTATATGCCAAATGCGCGATGCATTCCGAATGATATTAATGAGTCCGAGACATTCGGAATGGAGGTATGACCAATATACTATAAGCCAAAACTTGAAGGTGTACTTTCTAATTTATCGTGGCCTGATGGATGTGGTTCTGCGGTACACAGTTTTTCTGACAATCAGATAGTGGCGCACGCTATAAATAGATTCAAAAGTCTTATCTAAACGCATGCGCGGCTTTTATCAACCATTAATGTTTACATGATGACTTATGAATGACGACTTCCGCTGAAATGAGAGAAAGATTATCACGGTGTGATGAACATTGTGTCAATCAATACATTTAATGTTCCGCCAACAGAACGATAAAACCGCCAACCAATATAACAGACATATATCATAACACATTTGCTGTCAATCAATTAGTAGCAACACTCCGTCTCGGGACGACGATAAATTGGCTATCTTGTAATTTTCCCGGCTTCTGGTCAATGAGAGGAGAGTTATCCATTGCAAAATACTCGGAGAGTCTTAATTGAGTTCACACACTAAGTGGTTTTTAATATAACAAGTCTTAGACAATGCTATTTTAGTAGGATCCTCTTTATCACATTATCCGGAATACATGCAATTATGCATAAAAATAAGTTTTTTCTCCGACACATACCTTGAGTCTTCATCGACTCCATCTTGACTCATTGTCTGTTAACTTTGATACGACGCCAAAACGTCATGACTTTATGACGTCATGTCGATTATATTAATATCAAAGTCACGATAGTTAATATTAAATCAACTAATCTTTGAGGTAATATGTCATTTTATCACATGATTGCCCTGTTACTTAGTTAATAAACCCATGTCATGTTTATGGGTATGAACTCATGTCATATGACCCATTATGACGTACAATGATCATATTACACAAACAAAATGACAATGACAAACAGATACAGAATCAAAATGGCAAAACGTTAGACATCGGGAATAACCTGATAAATCATGTTTTGATATATTCGTAAAATAATCACAATCATGAGATAAATAGAATTTTACACGTGTTTCCATATCATAGAAAACATATGCTACTCATTACCATTTATTTTTTTAATTCTAGCTCGCCAGATGCTCACTTATGTAAATCTTTCAAAGTATAAAATGCGAAATATTGGACACTGCGCAAGCAATCTTAATTTGGTTTTTATTTTCTACAATACGCTATAATGTTAAAGACTAATAATACACTTTTCCTCACCTTGGCAGAAAGGCGGAAGCAATGTTAGCCTTAAGAGGTTAGATTCTTAAAAATCTTGCCCAAGGCTTTACCCGGGTGCCAGAATTCAAGAATCTTACCGTGCGGGTGGTGGCTCATTATGGTGTTTTTTTTCTACCATCCCAAACACAAGTGTGATTACATGAAACAAAAACATACATTGCACGGTTTTCCAACAAAACCCTTAGAGTTACTTTTCGTGCATACTTGATATTACAGGGGTCACGCTCGCTTAAACACTCTCTGCACCCCTGTCCTTTAAAGATTACAGAGGAGCGACATCCGACTTCAAAGGATCAAACAAGTCGTTTTCGTTTCATCCACAAGGTGACTCACTGCGTCGATATTTTTTTCAATTCAAAGTTATTACCAAATGCACATTGCATATAGGCGTACAGAAATATACATATTGATCAATTCTTTACAAATATCTTGTACAATGGCGGAGAACATATGCAATAGATTCAATTCCATTCATAATAATTACAAATTCATGAAATAGTCATAAGTTGGGGTAACTTAGCAATTGTCAGGACTGGGGAATCCCCTTGAATTTACCCTAGGGTAGGACAAAATAATATGATATTTAAAAACCTTGGGGTGAGATAGGGAATCTTAACACTCGGCGAAAGATTCTTAAGTTGACAAGCACGAAGCTTTTTTTTTCTCTCATTTCCCTGTGTGTAAGATACAGCTGTCCGGGGAAAGAGAGGGGTGTAGGATTTTTTTTCTCTCTCTCCTATCTCACCGCCAAGGGGGTGAAAGATTCTATTAATCGTACACCTCAATTCACGTGACGTCACAATGGCTCAACAACGACGTGACGTCACGAATTTGGAACTCTCCGATGCCGCAATGCGGAAAAGGCAACGTGATGAAATTAAAACCTTTTAATATATATTTACCGTAAACGTTAGAAAGATGTGATTAATTATTCTGCGCGAACATTGTTTGCTAACATTTGATATGCTTAATACAACTGGTTGATTCGTTTTCGTCTAAAAACTGGATATTTTCAGTCAGTCCAAACGCATTTTCATGGTTTCTGAGCCTATTCTGGTGATTGGAAGGAGAGAAAAATACTAAAAAGATATCTCACACTGAGAAAAGTGTGGATACACCTGTCCAGGGTAAGAAAAAGGGATATCTCACATCGGGAGAAGTGTGGATACACCTGTCCAGGGTAAGAAAAAGGGATATCTCACATCGGGAAAAGTGTGGATACACCTGTCCAGGGTAAGAAAAAGGGATATCTCACATCGGGAGAAGTGTGGATACACCTGTCCAGGGTAAGAAAAAGGGATATCTCACATCGGGAGAAGTGTGGATACACCTGTCCAGGGTAAGAAAAAGGGATATCTCACATCGGGAGAAGTGTGGATACACCTGTCCAGGGTAAGAAAAAGGGATATCTCACATCGGGAGAAGTGTGGATACACCTGTCCAGGGTAAGAAAAAGGGATATCTCACATCGGGAAAAGTGTGGATACACCTGTCCAGGGTAAGAAAAAGGGATATCTCACATCGGGAGAGTTGTGGATACACCTGTCCAGGGTAAGAAAAAGGGATATCTCACATCGGGAGAAGTGTGGATACACCTGTCCAGGGTAAGAAAAAGGGATATCTCACATCGGGAGAGTTGTGGATACACCTGTCCAGGGTAAGAAAAAGGGATATCTCACATCGGGAGAGTTGTGGATACACCTGTCCAGGGTTAGAA